AATTAATTCCAAGACATTATACATTGAACTGTAGTTTAGAAATTTAAGCCATTTATGAATGTATACATTTCTATAGATATGCTTTATATTGAATACCCGATCCATATGTTAACTAACAAAGCAATGAATTTTTACTAATATTTTATTTAATTAATTTATGTATTTTTAATTATTACAATTTTGAGATAATTTTGTTTTTGCTTCAGTAAAACAAAATACAATTGACTGCCTTTCGAGTGCCTAATAGTCTTTATATTGTGCCTAACATTTATATTCATTATTCTTTAAAATCATTATATAATTAGTTTATTGAATGTATTGTTTAATAATATATATTTTTAATAAAATTGAATTATAATCAAACTTAACTAAATTATTTTTACAATATAATACAGTATAATATATATAAAGATATTATCATTGCAGTTTATACTGTAGAATATTACAATAACTAATAACCAAGTTATTGTCAGAAGATATGAAATCTCATTTATTAGGTGAAATCACTGTTTTGTAAACAATTCATGACATTTTGTTTGCTAACCACTTAAAAGAAAACCATTTTTATAGATCCGAAAATAAGTTAATGATTTGATATAATATTTATATCGATAAATATCATCATATATTATATCAATTATTGGACAAAATGCCAAATATTATTCATTGCAAACAGACCACAGCCAAGAGTACACTGAAATCAGTTACTTTATGAACAAGAATGCAAATATTCATAAGAATTTTATAATAATTTGATATAATAACGAAGTGGTGGTCATTTGAATTGTCATTTTCTATGAGAACTATAAATCATTTTTCAATGCATTTCACGTGTATTACAAGAATAACTTTAGTTTTGTTTTTGATATTGTAGAAAGTGAAACTACATATTTTAGCTTTAAATACCACAAATACATACAGCATATTGATAAAAATAGATGATTTAATTCAGTTATTTTTAATAAATTCTGTATTCCAACCAAAATATTGTTTTATATAATATATAATTATACGAAATGTTTTCTAATTACCCAAAAAATCAAACTCATAGCCGTTCGTCGTTTAATGATTTCATGATAGACTACAATAATCATAGATTTAACGCAAATCATTCATCGCATCAAAGAAAAAGTGTTGACAACACAGGAGAAGATAATTCTCATCACTGCTGGCACTATGTGTTTAAGTTGATGGTTATAATCGGCTGCGCCTTAGGCTGTGGCTGGCAATGCATTTCGATTCTCAATCTATTCTTCTCGTTCCCAAGTATTGTCTTAGTATACGTCGAGACTATGGATCAGTTAGAACTGCCGGCCATTACACTCTGCAATAGTAATCGGTTTGTATTTTCAATTATCCCGATTGTCACCGCCTATAGTTCCATACAATTAGTATTAATTTTAATAAAACTTTTAATACTTGTGTGAGATTCTAATACTAATGGACTGCAACTATAGGCGGCGAATGTGAAGCACTGGCTATAACTATAACTGAAATAATGTTAAATAAACTTTGCAATAGTGTAATGATGTCTAAATTAAGGCAATACAACAAAACGTTTGACAGAATTTGGAGCACTTATGACGACACCTCTGATGTGGACGACGACAACGTCACTAAATTAGTACTTCATTTCTAATCGATTGTTTAATTGTCTCATTTGACACCATTTACTTGAATTGATATAAAGGATAAGCAACAGATCGTTGACGACACTATTCGTACGCTTCTCAACACATTGACTGTCAATGATTTCATGACATTAGGCCATACGGCCGA